GGTTTAGTTTTATTTTTTTTTAAATATTAAGATAAGTACTTGCAATATATGATTTTATTAATAATATATTTGACTAATAGTTGCATTACAACTACAGAAATAATTATAAAAAGAGTATACAACTAGCTATTTATACAACTTTAGTTATTGTCTAATTTAAGTAGTTTGCCCAAAGGTTCTACATTAGTTGCCATACCTGAAACCTGCCTATAGGTTCTCTATTTAACTATACTAGTTTTTGTATCTACCCACCTATCTCTGCCTATCAATGACTTTAGCTGATACTAGTAAAAATATGCCATAGCTACTAAGTCTTTAAAGCAGTTCACTTATATGAGAAACCTTTGACCTTGTACTAAACCTTCTAGAATCTTTTGTATTTCATTCTTACAGCTAACCTAGTATCACTATGACTAAGACCAACACTAGCAGTTAGGACATACTATTAAACTGCTATGATCTTGTAGAGTTCACTCCAATCCTAATACTAACTTTACAACATATTTCTACTACTTTGGTATTCAATTCAAGTTCTACTAAGCTTTCAAACCAGATAGTCTAAAAAAGCAGATCATAATCATACATCTCTAATTTACATATTTGCTAGCATGTAACCTTTTTCTTTAGAATGGATCTTTGTAATCTAGTTGTTTCTATTTAGCTTCTCTCCAAAAGCTAACTCTTTGTCTAGTTTTATAAGCTCTAGTTCTGTTTCATAGATCTAGTCTTTACAATAGCATCATTAAAGGTTTGGGTTATCTCTTTACTTAGGTCTTTTAAATAAACTTTTATTTTCCTATCTGGTTCCTATTATTTACATAATCTAAGAACTTATTTTGAGTTCATACTACTTGATATCAGTTTGTGTTCCTTTATACAATATTGCATGAATATCTAGACCTTTTAGTTATACTAGTATGACACAAGTTACAGGTATCTTATTTTAACCAATCATAGAAGACAATGAACTATAATACAAAAAGAATTGCAAATTTTCACTATCACTAGGATTTGAACTCTAGACCTGCCAATTGAAGGTTGACAACCTATCTACTTTACTAGATTGCCACATTCCTAGTTTTGGTTTTATTCTTAATATTTATTAATATATTTGTTATTAACTTAGTTGTCTTATTTTTTTTGCTATTTTTTTTTTTTTACATAAATTTTTTTTTTATATAAATTTTTTTTTTTATATAATTTTTTTATTTTACATAAATTTTTTTTTTACATAAATTTTTTTTTACATAAATTTTTTTTTTTATATAAATTTTTTTTTATTATCTATAAAATAAAATCTATATTTATTACTAAAAATACTCATGATTAAATCTTAAAAAATTATATAAATAATTTTTTAAAAATAAAGCAAAAAAAATTTTAATTAATCTAAAACTTTTAAATAAAATAAAAATTATTTTACTAAACTTTAAAGACATTTTACTTTATAATAAAAATATATAAAGTTAGACTAAAAAAAAATTTAAAATTATATTTAAAAATTATAAAATAATTATAAAAATTATAAATAATTATATATAGATAACTGAAAGGTTTTATAAGGTTCTTTATTATATTCATAATAAAATAATATAATATAGTAATCAAAAGCAAATCTAGATATTAGTTTATAAAAAATAAAAATTTATAAAATAAAAGTTTATAAAACAATTTATAAATAATTATATTGCATATATAGTTTAAAAACTAGTATTTTATTTTTTAATAATAATACTAATTATAACAAAAAATTTCTTGTTTTATATTTAAATAAGTTTTATATTTTTAAAAATCAAAATTAAATTTTTTATTAAATTTTTTTTTACAAATTAATTTTTTTTTATTTTTACTAAAGCTATTGGTTATTGGTTGCTATTGCTTTTATTGTGTTTTAATTATATTTATATAACTTGTACAAAATAAATATGCAACTAAAAGATATAGTGACTTAGTAAAATAAATAAGTTGTTAACTCTTTAAGTAGTAGATAGTGAGTTCAAAACCTACTAATAATGAAAAATTTAAATAATTTTCTATATAATACATAGATAATATTATAGCAATAGCATTCTGTTAATCAGTTAAGATAAGATATCTGTAACTACAGTTATACTAGCATGACTGGCTGATTATAAGACATCTGTGCAATATTGAAGTTATATAAAGAAATACAAACCAGCATCAAGAGGTGCAAATATAAAATAAGTTCTTGTGACTGTATAAATCCATAAAACTAAAAAGCTAGAGCCTACTTGAAAAAAACTTGAGTAAAGAAATAGCACAGATCTTTAACAGTACTACTGTAAAGTCTAAATCAAGAAAACAAATATCAATATAGAAGAAATCAGGTGAGCAAGAATCTCAGATGAGGAGTACTATTAACCAGGCTGCTAAAAGTCTTGAACCAAAGAAAAAAATCTTAAAAAGCAGATTTTGAAGTATTAGGAACAGGTTATAGTTCTTCTGAGCTATCTGAATTAGGAGTCTGAAGTTAAAATCAAAGATATACTATAAGTACTAGAAATATGCTATGAAGTCAGTACTAAGATTTGGATGAACTTTACAAGAGCAAGCCCTGTTAGCAAAGATTAAATATAGGTAGTTAGTTAGCAAAAGAGTCTTTTGAAGCATTACAGTTAGGTAAAGTACTCTGAAATATATAACAGCTTAACAGACATACAAACAAAAAGATCAAAATTAGATTAGATAGCACTTTAGATTACAGAAACTTGTATGCTATAAGCTAGTGTAGTATAGAAATAATTTTGTACAAGTTATATAACCATAATTGAATTCACAATAAAGGCAGTCACTGCTAATAACTAACAACCTTAGTAAAAGTAAAAAAAAATACAACTAGCTATATATACAGCTTTTGGCTATTTATTTAAGTAGTCTGTTTACAAGTTCTATACTAGTTGCTATAACTATAATCTGCTAAAAGATTATCTAATTAAATACTCAAATTCTTATACTATTCTGACAAATAACATACAAGTTTCTATATATCTAAATGCTATCTAACTTAATCTTAGCTTTTTTTTTTATATATCTGTTAAGCTATTATATATTTTAGAATATATCACCTAACTGTAAGACTTTAGAAACTTTTCTGTTAACTAGCTACCTATTTTCTATAAAACATTAATAAAGCTTGTCTTTGTAAAGTTTATTTAAACCTTAGTACCAACTTTACAGCATATCTTTAGTACTTATAATATATTCTTGCTTTGTTATTCAATTCTTAATCTAGATGCCCAATAGAACTATAATATGTTTCTAGTAAATTAAGTTTAATCTAATATTTTTTTTTTTTAGTTTGAAATTTCTAGTAGTTTGGTTGATAGTATTTATTATCTAAGGTTTTTGTTTATCTAATTTTTTTATATTAGTATTTATTTTTTAGATTTAGACTTTATAGTAATACTGTTAAAGATCTATGTTGCCTTTTTACTCAGGTTTTCTTAAGTAGACTTTGATTTCTTTAGTTTTATAAATTCATATAATTATAAAAACTTATTTTAAATTTGCTCTGCCTGGTACTGGTTTGTATCCCTTTGTGTAATCAAAGTTATGCAGATGCTTCTTAACCTGCCAGTTATGCTAATATAACTATAATTACAAGTATTTTATCTCAACTGATTAACAGAATGCTATTGTTATAATATAGATATATTTTTTCAAATTTTATCTCTAGTGGTTTTAAACTTAAAACCTGCTACTTGAAGGGTTAACAACTTATCTACTTTACTAAGTTATCATATTCCATCTTATAAATAAATTTAATTAATCTAATTTATATTTCAAATAAAGAGTTCAAGTATATATATTATTGTTATAAAATGAATTATTATTATTTTATTATTATTAGTTATTATTATTATTATTATTATTATTATTATTTTTAATCTTAAGCAGTTATGCTAGTACTTTATTAAGATTCTTGAAACTATATATATTTATAATTACATAGAATTTCCTAATATATAAGTCTAGCATCACTCGGCCACCCTATTGGTACCTAAATGCAACCTGTCATACTATTTCGGTTAGAGATAGACTGCTCATTTAACTACTTAAAGCCATACCAGAAGGGTCTTCTCCCTTTTGTAACAAGCATATCAATTGTTTTTCAAGCTTCCTTCTTTATTTAATTCATTTTTTCTTTCTTCTTTTCCTTTTTTTCTTCCTTTTTCAACTCATCTCTTTTTGTTCTTTTTCTTGTCTTTCTTTTGATTTAAGCACCTTTTTTTATTTTACTTGTTATATTCATCTTCTTTTCTCATTCTTGCACTTTTCCACACTGAACTCTTCATACTTGGTCATAGAATGTATTCTATACTGTTGTTGTAGTTGGGGAGAGTCTTTCTTATATGTTGCCGGTTTAACACAGTACTACAAGCATAGACAGGGCCTCAACTTAGCTTCTAACTGACGGACAAGTCTAGTCCGGGGTGGTCCCGATTACTGGGTTGCTGATAGGTCAACAGAAGTCACGTGCCTAACTCTAATGGGTTGTCAGTTTCTAAACAATAACGTGAAGATTAGGGATCAAATACTAGGCTATACTACGCAGGACTATCGCTTATCACTTCGGCTACATGTAGGGTTTCAATTTTATACCGTATTTATTTACTAACTTAGCAATGAATTAAAGCTTTATTTATTGGGCATATGCCCTATTTATACAGATTTCAGTGGTTGGGTCTCAAACCCTCTGCTGGGGTTTCGTACCCGTACCTGGGGTCAGGAACCCTGGATTAGGGTCTCGAACCCGATATTAGGGTTTAGAACCCTATTACTACATTATGCTAACTACAAATTATGCATTACAGGGTTTCATTCCTTATTCTGGAGTTTCGAACCCTATTACTATGCTATACTAACTTGTTTATGCCAACCATTTATGAGGGTTTCAAACCCTATTACTATGCTATACTAACTTATACTTACAAACAGATGCAAAGAAAGGCAAAAAGTTTCGCAACATCTTCCCCTGCTCAAAGAGTGAGCTTCTGCGAACTCATCACCATTTTTCGAATCTCCTCCTCTCTCAACCTTTCTGCTTCCGCCAACATTGCCTCAGAAAAATCTCCCTCCAACATTCATTTCAACACCGAAATCGATATATGTTGAACCTGATGCATACACTACTCATCCCGCATGGCAAACAACATATACACTCGCTTTGCAATTTTCCATACTAAGCCCACTTTAGGGGCCAGGAGTCGCTCGGCCAGCTTCCTTCGTGCTTCATCTCTCCAACCCTTTTCAAACAGCAAGCTTCCTACTTTATAATAGGTCTCCAATACTTCGGCCATCGATAGGGTCCTTGGGTTCAGGTCTTCGACGTCGCTACACACGTTACTTAGTTTTTCACTCCAGGTTTCTCCAGCGGCTTCGATAGGCATTGCAAGTTCGGTCCCCATGGGGTGGTTCAAGTCTTGAAGGTACAGAGCCAAATGGTTGTGGATTTGCTGAGCCTTGGTCCTCCTTTCTGTCCTTCCAAACCCTTCGTGGATCTCTTGGTCCTGGTATTGAAAGATCACTTCCCCCTTCTTGACTTTCAGCTCTTCATCGGGTTCCATTCGGTCCACAAGCTGTTGGATTGTTTTTCTTAAAGTTTTAAAGCATTGTTCCATTTTTTTTTTTTTTTTTTTTTTTTTTTAGTTTATATATAAAGATTTTTTTTTTTTTTTTTTTTGCTATTACCTCATTTCGCCGTCATTTCATGCTTTATAGTATTTTAATTGACTACTGTGCACTGCCCCTTTTATTACCCTTTTGTCATTTCCCATCATATGTAATTAGTACGTACTATTATCTATTACATCATGCACCCAGTATGGTCCTGACCACTTTTCCTCTAACTTATCACCTAATTGTTTTCCCAGCTTAGCCCGGTACCTTAACACCTTATCTCCGATCCCGAAACTTTGCAAGGGGTATTGTCGGTCGTGGCTCCACTTCTGCTTTTGTTGGGCCTTGCGAATGTTCTCACGTGCCTTGATCTGAACTTCAAACAGTTCGTCTGCCAATTTTAAGGTTCGGGCTAAAACCATAGACTCATAGTAGTCATCATCTATATGATCCACAGGGTAAGTTTCCAACAGTAATTCTACAGGCAACACAGCCTCTCTTCCATACATCAGGTAAAAGGAGTCATATTTGGTCGTACCATGCTTGGCCGTCCTGCAAGCAAATAGAGCGGGGCTCACATATTCATCCCAGTCTCCTTGGTACTGACTTATACACTTTGTTAGCGCCTCACAGATGGTTCGATTGAACTGTTCAACAAGACCGTTGGTCTGTGGATGATACGTGGATGAGAATTTGTGCTTGATACTGGCCCGGTTACAGGCCTCCTTTATAACCTGGTTTTTAAAATAGGTCCCTTGATCCATCAAAATCTGTCGGGGGCAGCCATGACGACCAATTATGTCTTCCAACACGAAGGCGGCAACAGACTCTGCCGTACAGTCGGGCAATGCTCGAACCTCGGGCCATTTCGTCAAATACTCTATTGCTACCACCAGGTACCTGTTACCGTTTCTCGTGAGAGGCAAGGGCCCCACTATGTCCATTCCTACTCAGTCGAAAGGTTGTGCCACCTGTATCAGGTGTAACGCCTCCCGTGTTTTTAGTTTTTCATGGTGTTGATAGGCGTCACAACTCTGTATGTAGCTTTTGATATTCTCTATCATTTGATTCCAATGGTACCGTCTTCGTGCTTTCTCTATTGTTGCTCCTTCATCTAAATGGCCAGATGTGGGGTCATCATGTAAAGCTCTCAGTACCATCCTTACTTCCTCACGCTTTAGTACCCTTAAAGGCCAATCGGGTTCTCGATGGTTCTTCCAATACAGCACTCCTTCTCATACAACATAATACCTGGACTGATTCCTTAACTTTCGGTTTTGTTCCTTTGAATATTCCCTAGGCAGCTCTAACTTAGTCAGGTACTGAATCAGGTTAGTATAATCTTTGGGTTCCATCTTAGGGATTTGTTTAGCTTGTTAGTTTTTTTTTTTTTTTTTTTTTTTTTTTTGTATATATATATATGCCAGGACACTATCACCTAGACTGGATTACAGATTTGGGTCAAGAATCTACTTATAATTGGTTAAGAGCAGTTTCCGAATAGTAGATTCGATTCGCTTTAGAGTAGCTAGCTTGAAAATACTTGTATGCGGTTGGGTCTCTTTCTTGGCTCGTCGTTTGTTTTTTTTTTTTTTTTTTCGCTTCTTTTAGTTGTTACGTTGTTTTGCAGCTGGTCACGTTAGTACTTTTACCAGGCTATTGATTTATGCGCCCCAAACCCCGCGCATAAACGTCGTAGCCAACCCTTAACTACTACATCCGTGTTATTATTAATATTATGCTTATTTATGCACAGATATATCTATATTATTATTATTATATATATATATAGATTTTTTTTTTTTTTTTTTATTATTATTTTTATTAATTTAATAATAATTTTTTTTTTCACTCAAACTCCTCTACCTGTGATAGCCCGTCAATGTTCCCCAGTTGCCTCCTAGGTCAGTACTTTACCACAAAATCATAGCCCTGAAGAGTCATAATATATCTCACCATTCTGCCAGTCGGGTTAGCCATATTGTTAAGGTAGGTCAAAGCTGTGTGATCGGTTACTATTGTAAATTGGGATCTGTGAAGATATTGGTGAAACTTCTTCACGGCCCAAACAATAGCAGTACACTCTAACTTAGTTATTGTGAAATTTCGCTCGGTGGGCTTCGTTGATCGACTGGCATACTCCACAACACCTTCTAGCCCATTATCGCCAGGCTGAGATAGAACAGCACCAAGAGCAAGGTGCGATGCATCTGTGTACAAAACAAATCCAACATCGTCCTGAGGGTGAGCGAGGATGGGAGCTGAAGTGAGCCTACTCTTTAATTCGTCGAATGCTTCTTGTTGCTCCTTCTTCCAGCTAAAATTTTCTTCTAATTTCAATAGCTTGTAAAGAGGCGTGACTATACTCGAGAAATCTTTAATGAAGCGACAATAGAAACCAGCCAGACCTAGAAACCCTCTCAATGCACGAAGGTTCTTGGGTCGAGGAAAGTTACTCACAGTGGCTACTTTTGTGACAGTTGGGGTTATACCTTTGCCAGAGATTTTATGCTCCAGGAACTCTATTCGGTCTTGTCCAAAATAACACTTGTCCGGATTCAATTTCAGATTCACTTGGTGCAGTTTACCAAGAACGACGTCCACATGGCTTAAGTGTTTTTCGAAACTAGAAGAGTATATGTTGACGTCATCCATATAGGCCAGAACGAAGTCCCACATTTCTTTCTGGAGCACACTATCCATTAATCACTGGAAAGTGGTGGGAGCATTTGTTAGGCCGAAGGGCATCACTACGAATTCATATAGTCCGAATTTGGTAGTAAAGGCTGTCTTTTCGCAATCACGTGGATGAACTCCGACCTGCCAGAATCCACTGGCGAGGTCCAGGGTGGTATACCAGGTCGAGTTTTTGAGTGCTCCCAATAACTCATTAATTCTCGAAAGGGGGTAGCTATCACGTTTCGTTCGTTGATTCAGCTTCCTAAAGTCAACACACAGCCTCATTTTTCCATTTTTCTTCTTAACCAATACAACGGGAGATGCCTACGAACTGCATGACGGACAAATTAACCCAGCTTTCTCCATTCTCTTTATTTCCTGCCCAATAAACTCATGCTCCACCTTGGATGTGGGATAAAACCGTTGCTTTATAGGGGGACCTCCCTCTGTATGAATTTCATAATGCACAATGGATGTCCTTCCTAGCTGGTCGGGTTCACAGGTGAAAATGTCTTCATACTGTCTTAATACCTTCCTTATTTGCTGCTGCTGATCTGGGGTCATATTTTCTAGCTTGAATTTGTCTGTCTTCCTTCCTCCTGTATGTAGTCTTGCTTTTCGATCCTCAACTTCATTCCACATACACTCCGATTCATAGTGTCCTCTCCTTAAGCACTGCCTGCACATGACATCAGTCTCCTCCCTTATAGGGTAGAACCTGCAATACAAATAAGTTTGACTCACCAACCCTTCCTCCTCTTCATACTCATCCTCTTCACTAAATTCTGATTCGTCCTCATCTCCACCATCTTCATCATTTTCTGAATCGCTTCCTTCATCCTCTTTTTTTCTCTCCTTATTCATGACCATCTTTGCTATTCGATCCCCAACGTTCGCTGGCTTACAATACTCAGTTGGGACCTTTATCCTCTCGTTTCCATCTCTTAGCATCAACTCACAGGATTTCCAATCCAATCGTGCTCGAGCCTTTCTCATCCAATCATTCTCCACGATTACCGTGTAGTTTCCAGCATCAGTTACAACTGCTCGGGACATTATGGTTTTTCCTCCAACTGTTACTGGAAATTCGTCAATCTCTCCTAGTGGCCTTTTCTGTTCGCCGTGTACGCCCATCATCATCACTGTAGATGGACGATCAATTGTTATGCCAACATCCTTTAGGAACCCAGCAGAAACAACACAACCAGAGGAGCCACTGTCCAAGATCAGAATGATTGGTTTACCGTTCACTTGAGCATTACAGTGCATTGATGTTATATATGAATCATCACTCCTATTGAGACAAAATTTGGCAAGTTTCCTTTTCGTCACCCTCCCAGGCCGTAACACTTTCAATGCCTCCTTCCATATGTTAAGTGCCACTTGAAAGAGCTGAGCATATGTTATGTCGGCCTTTTTGTTCTGCAGGTCCATCATTATCGAATATGGCTGGATCTTCGCCATTACTGGAGGTTCCAATGTCTTTGTAACCTTCCTTTTCACAACCTTTTTACTGTTCCCTTGCTCACTTTTCTGATCACTTGCTTGTTTACTTGCTTGATTGTCTCCACCACTACGACTGTTCCTAGACGAAGGCTCTAGTTCAGTGGGTTCTTCATCAACACGTTTCCTTTTTGCCATGTATGCTTCTTCAATCTTTGCAATGGAGGGATTTGTGGTTAGTTGTACATTCTCACCCTCTAAAGGTGTGCTTCCGAGTTTAAATGTTCGAATTCGTCTTGTATTTGCGCTATCATTGCTTGTGCCCTTGAAGTTTCCTCCACTATCCTATTATCATTTATAGGGGCATTATTCTGAGGCGGAACCAGGGGATTATTACTGTTCCCATTACTATTGACATGATTGTTGGTCAGACACTCATGGGCATAATGTCCTACTTGTTGGCAAGCATAGCATACAGGTGGCCGGTTTATTCTATCGGGTCAGTTTCCATTTTGTGAGGGGCGTGGCCGATTGTTGTTGTTGTTACCATTATTCCTTACTGCTGTGGCCACCTCTTAGAGTAGCGTCATAACCTGCTCTATTGAAGCATTTGGAAGTTGTGTAGGTGCGACTGGTTGGTTCACGGGATACATTGGTTGGTGTGATGGTGACATGGGTGCTTGGGTGGTCGCATAGGCTAGCTGATGGTATAATGCTAGCCCACAAACCGACATTCCTCTTGCAAAGGTCATTTCGCATGTTCGTGCCCTGTCGATAGCTTCCTGGAGTGTATTTGGCATAAATGGTCCTACAACCAGTAATAGGTCTGGACGAAGTCCCTGAACGAACATTTGTGCCTTAGTTAATTCGGGGTACTGGTTCCCAACTCGGGTGACCTGATTGAACAATACCAACATGTCTGCAGCATATTGGTCTACCGTTTCTCCTACGCGTTGCCGTCTTGTTAGTAATTCGGTATTCCACTAGTTGATTAGGGCTGAAGTACAAAAGTTCCGATGAAACTGGTGTACGAAACTTTGTCCTGCCATTGTCTTGTTATTCCAGTAACATATTTCTATTCCCTGGTTTCCCAAACTTTCCCACCACAGCGCGGCAAGGTCAGATAGGTGCGCACTTGCTATTACAATTCGCCTGACTTCTTGGATGTTGTTAGCATTGAACGCTCGTGTGATCGACTCAATCCATTCCACAGGGTCCTGGTTTTTCCCACTAAACATAGAATAGTTTACCATATTCCATTCGCCTAATTCCAATTGTGGCTCTCGAGACAGTTTTAAGGCATTTGCTAGGAGTTGCAATAATTGCATTGTTTGTTGGTCCGGGGTTGGTTGCTGTTTATGGTCCATTGGGGGGTTCGGATTATCCAATAGGCTTTCATTACTAGGGGGTTTGCTACCTTTCTGAGTGTTCCCTCTATTCATACATCCGAAATCATGATCACTGTTCCCTGGGGTTAAATCGTTAATTATGTTTTCCCACATTTTCCTATAATCTTTGTTCTATTATCACCGTTTTGCCTACACAGTGCTTATTTATGTTCTTTTTCCAATATTTCTACTACTCGTACGTACATAGTAATCGTCAATGATTAATTACACGATCTTTCGGCGGTTGCCCACTCTGGTATTCTTCCACACAATCGGCACCAAAATGTTGTAGTTGGGGAGAGTTTTTCTTATATGTTGCCAGTTTAACACAGTACTACAAGCATAGACAGGGCCTCAACTTAGCTCCTAACTGACGGACAAGTCTAGTCCGGGGTGGTCTCGATTACTGGGTTGCTGATAGGTCAACAGAAGTCATGTGCCAACTCTAACAGGTTGTCAGTTTCTATACAATAACGTGAAGGTTAGGGATCAAATACTAGGCTATACTACACAAGACTATTGCTTATCACTTCGGCTACATATAGGGTTTCAATTTTATACCGTATTTATTTACTAACTTAGCAATGAATTAAAGCTTTATTTATTGGGCATATGCCCTATTTATACAGATTTCAGTGGTCGGGTCTCAAACCCCCTGCTGGGGTTTCGTACCTGTACCTGGGGTCAGGAACCCTGGATTAGGGTCTCGAACTCGATATTAGGGTTTAGAACCCTATTACTACATTATGCTAACTACAAATTATGCATTACAGGGTTTTGTTCCTTATTCTGGGGTTTTGAACCCTATTACTATGCTATACTAACTTGTTTATGCAAACCGTTTATGAGGGTTTCGAACCCTATTACTATGCTATACTAACTTATACTTACAAACAGATGCAAAGAAAGGCAAAAAGTTTCGCAACACTGTTCTTGTTATTATTTCTATGCATCTTTGCATTGCCTGTTTGCTAAGAATTTGACTGATCCTTTTTTTTACCTCCTTCGTAATTAGCCCTTTTATCAGTGCTTTTTTATTAATAATTTTCTCTGCTTCTGTTTTTCCGAATGTTGCTTCATATAGCACTTGAGGTGAAATTCCAATTTTTTCGCTTTCTTTAAGACTATTCTATGCTGTTGTTGTTGCTACCTTTTGAATTCTTTTTTACAGACTTCTTTGTTTACTACAGCTTGCCAAGTGTGTCTGGGTTTTCTTTTCATCTGTTTGACATACTTGGCAATCTGTTGTCATATATATTTCTGATCTTCTTCTGTTTAGTTCTTCTAGTGTTGGCAAATCATCCATTATACATTTGATTGCTGTTACCCTTCTTGTGCTGAGTTTTCTTGTCATGCAGTATATACCTTTTGTTCTGTTCATCTTCTTCCAAAAACTTGACCAAATATATTGAGTACTTTCTGTTTCTGGTTTTAATGCTCGAATCGGGTTTGTTTCTCTCCAACTGGCTCCAACTCTGGTGTTTGCAATTATTTTGCAAAGAAGTCTTGTTAGTATATCAACTTTTTTGTTTTTCTATTCTAAATGGTACTCTATTCTATTATACTTGATCTTCTCTATAGGTATCACCATTCTATATATTGCTTCTTTCTTTGCAAGTGCATCCACTCTGTTATTCTACTTATTATTACTGTTACTTTTAACTTTAACTAGTTGGATTTTGTTGCTCTTGCTTTTAATTAAGTTTACAATATTCATTATCCATATTGTGTTTTTCTTTTTAAGAACTTTGTCATCCTCTAATCCTCGAATTGCTTTATTAATGTTCCTTAGTGCAGTCAGACTATCTGTATGCACTTCTATATTCTTTTCTTCTAGAACGATTAAGATAGCTGCCCATATTGCTGCAAATTCTGCTGTTGTCGCTGAAGGCCAGCCTTCAAGTCCTAATGCCATTTCTTCTTCTGGCCAGTTTCCTTTATTACTAATCTGCACCCAGCCAATACCCATCTTTTCTGTACTATTTTTTTTTTTCTCTTTATATAATGCTCCATCTGTATAAAAGATATACTTGTCTTTGTTTCTTATCTTGTTTCTTGTTAGGACTTCTATTAAATGTGTTGTAATTTTATTATCTAATTCTTGCTTTTTGATTAATTCTATATCATATTCTTTTATTTGTTTTAGTCCAATTAGACTTCTTTCCTCTCTCTTTCATTTCTTCATTAGTCTGTTTATTAGTATTTGTTCTAATGTTGTATTCATCTTGTTATTGCTTTTTTCCACTAGTGTTTCAGGGACTGCTTTTATATTGTTGTTCCATCTTATCCACTTTTTGCAATTCTCTGTTGATTGTTCTGTTTTATTTTCACACCCTTTGCATTTGCTTGTCTCTGTGTATGTCTTTCCTTCTACCTTTTGCAAAAGCCAGTGTTCAGCTAAAATCTTTTTCTTTCTTAATATTTTGCTAAGTTGTTGTTCATATTTTGGCCCATGTATGATTCACTCTTTCTTTCTTCTGTCTTCAGATATCTTTGTTTAATTAATTATTAGTGCCTGGGTATTATAGTCATTGATCTTGTATTAATCATATATTTCTCTGCTTGTTTGTATTATTAACATCTTTTTTCTATTTCATTGAACTATTTGGCTTTTTTCCCTTTACACAACA